AGAAAACGTTGGCGACTGGGTCGAAAACACGTTTTCCTACGTTGACCAGATTGACAACCACCTCCCCATCACCCAAGAATTGACAAAACTCCTTAACAAGTACGGGGCCTTCGGACGCATCCAGGACGCCCTTCAGCGTGCTTTAGTGTGGTACGATGGAAACCCCAAGACTGTCCAGTTTCTCGCCAACTTTCTAGCAGTCAAGCTCAACCGGGCTCACCTGCGGGAAGGACAGGGGTATCTTCACTGGGCTCTCGAGCAACCCGGGGCCATATGGTATACCATTGACTTCGTGCTGACGGAAGCACAATGCCAGATCGATGTCAACGCAAGGGACGCCAATGGGTGCACACCTCTTGATTATGCTGAACGCCATGGGCATGACAAGATTGCTAGGCTTCTGCAAGGCCGTTATGGGGCTAGGAGAGGCGACGAGGCTGAATACTAGAGTCTTCAACGGGGATACTTGGATTCTTTATACGGGTACGTACTTCATTGGTGTACTCGTATTGGGAGTGGGAATTAATTGTACTAGGTTGGGTCCTTAAATGTCAGTAGGGTTAAGAGCGGCCCGAAGGATCCTAGCAGATTGATATCCTGCACATTGACATTCATACTGGTCTCTAGCTACCGTAGGTACTTAGACACCTGTATTTGAGACCTCATAAAGCAGTATAAATTCGTCTAGCTGATGGAATGAGCATCTCTGTGCTGTGAACTCATTGATCTGCTATTGAATCGCAGTTGAATGAAGGCAAAATAGGCATAAAGGCACCCTATTGGAATAATAAACACAGAATTTATGGAATCAGCTTACTTCAAGCATATGAACCGGAATTATCATGGATCATACTTACCTGTAGATAGGTACTTAGTAGATTAGACCGTGAGTTTCCCTTTACGTCGAAATTATTCTAGACAGAGAGCATTGTTGTATGCATAAAAAGGCATTGTTACTCGGGGAGCCTGTTACGAGACAAAAGAACAGGCTTCTAGACAAAGGGCCGAGGCCTAGTAAAGCTGATAGCTTCTTCCTGGCGAAAGCCCTGTCATTTATTAAAAGGGGCTAATGGTCTAAATCACGGTAAGAATCACGAGTCAAATATATGGTACACCTTATTTGCTCAGGAACCTGCCAGCGAGCCTTGATCTACTATCTTTAATTCCATAAGCGATTCACTCCTAGGTAGTTGTAGCTTAGAGTTGACAACCCTCTTCTAACTCGCAGGCATATACAGTAACCTAGAAATTAGTCCGCTGCTACCGAGTCAATGGAAACCACCTCTCGCCCTCCGCGTCTCTCGGACGACATTATATATTATATCGCTCGCAATTTCGCTAGTCAAGCCCGGATATGCCTATTATCCCAGACCTGTCGCAAATTACATGGACTATTGCAAGGGTTTCTTATTTGTTCCAACATAGAAGCCACAATGCGAAAAATAGGTGAACTAGACCCACGCGATGCTAAGTACCTTAAAACCGACGACGAGAACGATTCTGAATATGAGGCATACCGCAAGAAGAACATAGCGCATCGTTGTCAAAATCGTGCTAACTCGGGCCTTATTCACTGGGCGTCTTCCCGTGGCCTCTTAGAAATGACACGATCAATTATCAAGCTGGCCCTACAGACTGACCCAAAATATTTGGATTCGAAAAACAAAGTGGGGCGGACAGCACTTAGCCTTGCTGCTGAAAAGGGGCATGTCGAGATCATTCGTGTTCTTATTGATGCTGGAGCTTTTGTAGACGCGCCTTCTACGCTCTGCGATCGTGCTAAATGTATCCCAATGTTGTCCCAGCAGCCGTATAACTTCAACCCCCTTAACTATGCTATTGTTTATGGGAATGAAACTGCTGCTGCGCTTCTTGCGCAGCATACTAAACACAAACACCATTACAGTTTTGTGGAATACGGAATGCGCGCTATCTTCTCTCCCATATGCCTGGCCGCATTAAATAAGATGCCGAGCGTCGTCCGAATCTTGCTTACTCGAGACCCTGACTCTTATGGGAAAAGCAGCAGGCCGACTCCGTATGAACAGCCTTATCGAGAACCACTATTCTGTGCAGCTTCCAAGGAGGCTAACTACGAGGTTATGGACATACTGCTCCAGAACGGTGCAAGTGTCAGAGACCGAGTCCCCGGGTATGAAAGCTATGACACACCACTTAGAATGTCTATTAGGCACAAATGTTTCGGCAACGCCAAGTATCTCCTTGCCAAGGCGGAGGTAGAGGGCGTTGAAATAGAAGATTATGTTCACGCGCTACACGACGCGGCTCAGTATGGTGGCAGGTTTCCGATGTTGAAGGTATTGGCCGAATATTTCAACACTAATGGTCTCTTCGACGACCTTCATGGTACTCTTTACTACTGTGTTCATATTGATGGGCCCCAACCAGAACCAGCCAAATATCTCATCAACCTATTAACCATAGAACTGAACCGGGATTACTTGGAGGAAGGCCAAACATATCTGCATTGGCTGTGCCAGAAACGCGAAGTCAAGGTTGATAAAGTTATCCAAGCGGTATTACGCGAAGCTCAAGGTATCGATATCAACGCAATGGATGCCAAAGGTTATACGGCACTGGACATCGCTAAAAAACGCGGGCATAAAACTATGGCGGCCTTGCTGCGATCGCATGGAGCTAAAGTAGGAGAGGGGTGGATAAGAGAGGCTAAGTCCTTGCATCAGTTACCCGACCATTTGTGTCAGATGTCGTTGGACTAAATTATACGCAAAGAGGCCAGGTTAATTCGGATTAGGTACCTACCCGATGTTCTCCTGTGGAAACGACTTGCGAATCCGTGATTAAGTTAGTTGAGTACAGTCTCTGTCATTCTATCTTAGAAGATACCTACCTGGGTACCTGGTTAAATACAATTAAATGAACGGATGGCTTTTAGTCAAGTTTTATAAATATCAATATGCGTTTAGTTCATCGTAACGCCGTCAATTTATTTTTCTTTGGTTTTGAAGCCATTGGAATTACTCTGATAGGTCGCTTCTTTACGACGCCCCTGTACGGATTTCGGTCGATGTAACAGGGAACTATCGAGCCCCCGTAAAACTCGGGTGTTTGTAGCAGCCAGCCGCCGACTTTTATCCCTTAACTCGTTGTGATCCCTGATATGTACCTGTGAGGATTAGGTAGGTACCTAGGTTACCTATCTAGGTCGTACTTCCCCCCTCCTTTGGCCTGAAGTACAACTCTAGACCCTATTCCTGTAACTCCTCCAAACATGACCCGAATCTCGACTGGAATCGAATCATCCGGGGGCAAATACGTCAATAAATAAGATTAGCTACCTACTCTACGAAAGTTCGACCTCAAATGGCCCCAAAGACTGTTCTCATTACTGGTTGCGGGCCAGGTGGCATCGGCTTCGCTCTTGCGATCGAGTTTCACATGCGGGGCCAGCGCGTCATCGCAACGGGGCTCTCGGAGGCGCTGCTCGCGCATCTACAGGACCGTGGCATCGAAACCGTAGTCCTAGACGTGACATCAACGGCTTCGATCGAGCGGGCCGTGTCGCAGGTCTCGAAGCTGACAGGCGGCACTCTGGACATTCTCATCAACAATGCCGGCCTCCTGCATATAATGCCGTTCGCTGACACGTCCATGGAGGATGCGCGCAGACTATTTGATGTCAACGTGCTGGGTGTTATCGCCGTAACTCGAGCCTTTCTTCCCCTCCTCCTCGCTGCCGCCACCACTGCGAAGAAGAATGGTGACAAAGGGGGTCCACTGGTTGCGAATATCTGCAGCATCAACTCCGAAATCAGACCGCCCTACTTCAGCATCTACAACGCGACTAAAGCGGCGGTCGAGGTCCTCAGTGGAACCATCCGACCCGAGCTCGCGCCATTGGGAATTCGTGTGGTTGTGGTCAAGACGGGGGCCATCAAGAGCGAATTCTTCAACAACACGCCCCTGACGAAATTGCCGGAGGACAGCCTATATAGGCCGGCCCGGGAGTTCATCGAAGGACGGAAGGTTCTAGAGAAGGCCCCGTACGTAGATCCCGAGGCGTATGCGAAGAAGGTTGTAGATTCGCTGCTGAGGCCTTCGGTCAAACCCGTCATTTGGCAGGGCGCCTTGACGACATTTGGGTGGATCTTGAGCTGGTTCGGGTGGGAGGGGATGCTGGTGAGTTGGAGAAGCTTCCTTCCATTGTCGAAGTTACTGACACAACATAGGACGGGTTATATATCCGATTCAACGACCTGGATAAGTGCACTATACATACATAGTGCAGAAGGTCACTGGAACTGGTCTCATATCCCCTGGACTTGGTGGAATATCGATGCAAATGACGCTTGTTGGTCTTCAACGCTATCGGCCTTTTTACGGGGGCATGAAGGGAAAAGGTCGGCCGATTGTAAGCATGGCAAGTAGAGAGCAGGCCTAAATTAAAATAAAATGACTTCTTGGTACAAGCAAAACAGAATTTGTAGCATTAGTGGTTTGTGAGTAAAATCTCATCATGTTGAGTTCCCAATAGTTACTAACAGGTAGTCTTGAACAGAGTGGTAAAATCCATCGTTGCCATCGATGGGCCCCGCGTTCGATTCGCGGCTAATGCAATTTTTGTCCCTTTTTGATGGATTTTCATTTTGTTTTCATTATACACTATCACAGGCCCTTAAAATGCCTCTCACTTACGCCTTATGAAGGGAGCTCACATGAGGTTTTATATAACACAGGTTAAAAAGATGAAATAAGGTACATAATATGTGTCACGTTCACAAAACTAACTAGAATTTTGCCGTCGTTCAAGATGTTCTCTGATATAACGGCAGCAACGTTAAGTGTGGGGTAAAGGGAAATTAATCTTTACCCCGCCACGTATGTAAGTGCACGAAATTCTGCGTTAAAGCCGCTGTGGCTGAGCACTGAAACAAGCGAGCGCACTTTCTTTCAAAATGAGACAGAAAAGAAAAAAAAAAGAAAATCAAAGACAAGACACTAAAGAGATCAAAATATTGGGGTTTGACCGGGGATTGAACCCGGGACCTCTCGCATATATGCTATAGGGTAGTCCCTAAGCGAGAATCATACCACTAGACCATCAAACCAGTTAAGGGGAAGGATCGTCTTGCTCACCGCTCCCAGATTGTGTCCAAACGCTGCTTATTTTTACTTATGTCCCTACTGCCAGTTAGAGCCCACTCTAGATTTATTTTTGGTGGATAATGAACCCCTTATGACCGGGGCTAATTGTTGCTAGCCTAGAGTGGTTAGTCTTTCGAAGCTCCGTGCGGGATGCTTTCCTTCTGCCTTACAGCAACGACACAACGCCTATTCTGGTGATTCAGAGAAATATGAGGTAGATACCCATTGTCTCGTACCGTGATAATGTGTTATATTTGATACATGCTTCTCAATTCGTATAATCACCATCGCCCCCTGCCCCAAGACATAATAGTCGAGACAGAGTAACTGAGTGTGGCTTGTTGGTGCACAACTGTGGCTGATCACACATTACCGTGGCGCTTCTTGTGACAGGAAAGACGATCCCATGCCAATTTCACATCTTGCTCGTCAATGCTGAAAATCGCGATTAAACCCCTTCGCATCGTATAAGAACTGGGCCCTATCCTAAACTCTCAAGACGGTGTTGGAATTTCACCGCTGTCCGATTTTACAAAATCCCGGAGAATATCCGTCCGGGTAAAATCGTAGCGCGGCGGGAAACAACAACTCTCGCTTCTCTCAATAAGCGGGATCAGCTCCGGTGCCTTCCCCGGAAGATGGGCTGGCCGTACCAAATCTTCGCCCTCGACGCCGCCCAAAAACAAGCCAGACGCCAGTCACTTGATCGGCACGCGGCGTATGCGCAGCTTTCGGCACTGATCCCTATTGCCCTTGTCGGACTTTACCGTCTCGGAGTATGGCTGGTGAGAAGGGCATCACCACAACGTGGTGCTTATTCGGCTGTTCCGGCCTCACCGGCGCTAAAGCAGAGGAGACGAAGTGTTACTGGCTCTGGGATTACTATCTTGAGGAGAATTCCTTGGTGGCTTGGTGACGACGTGACGTTTTGGGGGGCGAACTGGGGACAGAGAGATCAGATAATCTTCGGCGTTGTCTGGACCGTGTGGCTAGTGTTTCTGTGTATCATCGGCACTGGAAATGGTAAGTCTGAAGCCTAGCTGCTTGAATGGGTCCTGTTCGGATTCTAGAACGTCTTCATTTGGTCTCAGATGCGATATGTTTCTACTAATTCCAAACAGATTAAAATTTGACGATCTAATAGGTGTGAGAGCTGACTTATCCTAGATTATCTTCACTTGACGAAGCGGTTCGGGATAGTTGCCCTGTCTCAATTCCCACTCCAGTACTTGCTGGCGCTTAAGAGCCTCAACCCTGTCGCCTTCGCCTTCGGCTCTTCTCATGAACAAGTCAATCGATGGCACCGAGTTCTCGGCTGGATTATTTACATCCTTCTCCTCATGCATGCGTCTCTTTACCTGAACTTTTACGTCCAAGAGGGCATCCTAGGTGAACGAATTGTCCGCTTAATCCCAGCGCTTGGCATTGCCTCAATTGTCGGCATGAGCCTCATGAATGCGACAGCGCTTAGGATTATCCGCCACTACTCCTACCGCGTCTTCTTCATCACGCATTTAACAGTAGCGATGTTGCTTCCGCCGGCCATCTTCTTCCATTCCCACCACGGAGGCCGCCAGTACGTGGTAGAGGCGCTTCTCGTCTTCCTAATTGACTTGATCAAGCGCAAGTTCGACACGGTCACAGCACCGGCCACTCTGGAGCTCATCCCTGGCACGAACCTGATCAAGATCGTAGCTGGCCTTCCCTCGCAGAAGCTCAGCCGCTTCCGCAAGTATCCGGGGATGCATGTGTACCTGAGTATTCCAGCTGCTGCTCGCCGTTCCAGTGTTGTGTCGGCAACGTACCTCCTCTTCGAGTTCGCATTCAACCCGTTCACGATTGCATCAGTGGACGAAGAGACCGGCGATCTCACTCTAGTTGCTCGACATCATAAGGGACCCATGACTAGAACCCTAGGTCAATTTGCAGAAGAAGGATTGGACGGTGCCAAGATACCGCTTAGTATTGAGGGTCCGTATGGATGCGCGACATGGTTCCCAAACCTGGCTGGCCCAGACTTTGACCGCATCCTTTTGGTAGCTGGGGGTGTCGGCGCAACGTTCATTCTACCTTTATACCGGTATGTATCACTATTCTCTCACTTTTGAGTTTCTTCATGCACATAAATGCTAACTAGAAGTAGTGAGTATCCAACACCCTTTAGCTGCGGCTTTCTACGTCAAGTGCCTTCCCGGCACGTAATCACCCGCCTACACGAGAAGTTCCTGCATTTGCGTCCTTAAATCCGTGCCTCCTGCAGAAAGCTAACTCATCATAGGTTTGATTGCAAACGAAAATCCGACCGCCCGAGTACAGATGGTCTGGGCGGTTCGCGGTGCTGGCGACGCGACCTGGCCCGTTACAAATACTTCAGAGAGCATTTTAGCCGACGAGAATATCCAGTTATTCCTGACCGGGAATATCTTGTCAAACGCGAGCGAAGCCCCTAGGTTGAGCGACGAAAGCGAGGCGGTAGAGCTGACTACCAGGAATGATGTTACCGACGTGGGGCAAATCCGTAAACGACCCGACTTGCGTAAGATTGTCGACGACCTCTTTAGGCAAGGGGTGGAAGAGCGAGTTGCCGTGCTCGTATGCGGACCTGAAGAGATGGCTCGCGAGCTGAGGTCTTATGTCGGGGTTTGGGTTAAGAAAGGACGCAATGTCTGGTGGCATAATGAGAGCTTTGCATGGTAACCGGTTGAAGGGCGTCAGAAACCATAATTGCGTTTTGGCCTATAAAGAAATAGAATTGCCGGCACCTTGCTATCTTACTGATGTGCCCTACTTCCTGATCCTCTTGCTCGCAGGTTGCCGATCCATGCATCTCCGCGCGTGAGTTAGCTTGCTAACCAAGCAGTGTCTTGTTGACCATTATTTATGCCCTCATCTAAGGTTTCTCAAATGAATAGGCCACCAAGGCAGGACAGGTGGCTGCCCGGCATGCATACCCACTTCCGCAGCAGGCTGCCGTAGGGTGTAACCCCTGTAACATGGGCGTATGGCGGCCTATCATCCTGCGAGACATCCGCGACCTTGTTAGCGCACAGTCAACGAGTCGGTTACACGAGATCAGGCATAAAAGGCAGCCGATACCCGAGTTTTACGAGGGCTATTGTGTCGAACCTGAGACTCTTATCAAAAATTTCCTATTTAGGAGATTTTAGATGTAGATCGCCAAATTTTGACCTGACGTTATACGAAAATAAGAAATATTAGATTTAATTGGCGTGATAAGGAGTGTGGTAAGAGTTATGGCAAGAGCTGTAGCAAAAGCTGGGTAAAACTCGGGCTAATGTGGCACCTGAACGGGTGCCTTCTTGTATTATGATGCTTCCCCGTTATCGTTTAAGCACCTTACGATTACGGTGGACGAAATCTTAACACCCGCTAAACTATTAAATCATTTTACTTATGCTTATAAACCATATATATCACCTTTTATAAAATGATATATATTTATAAATATTATTATATAAAAATATAATAATAATAATATTATTATAAATATATTAAAATAAATATAATAATATTTAAAAATAATAATAATTAATAAAATTTTTTAAATATTTAATATAATATATCATTATTTATTTTATAAAATTTATTTATATATTTAATTAATTTAATTATATATTATTTTTTTAATTAAATTAAATATTTATTTTATTTAAAATATATAATATTAAAACGATAAAATTATTTATAAATAATTTTAATATATATATATATTAATTTATTAATATTAATTATATTATTATTATTATTTAAATTACGTTATATAATTTAACATAAAGTTTTTATGTAACGTGGATATAATATCCCCGAATTTTCTTATATTTTTAAAAATTAATAACTTTTTTAAAATAAATCGGAAAAATATTTAAAAATATATTTTATAAAGTTTAAATAATTCTTTAATAAAATATTAAATTATATTAATTTTAAATATTTTATTCAATTAAATAAACGTTTTTAAAATAAATTATAATTTTGAGATTTTAAGAAAAGTTACCCGGGAAAAAAAATTTATATAAATTTAAAATTTAAAAAAATATAAAAATTTCACCATAATAACTTTAAGTTTTATATATAATATAAGTTTATTATTTATTAATATTTAATATTATATTAAATTATAAAAATAAAATAAATATATTAAAAAAAATTTTTTACTTCATTTTTTTTTCTTTTTTTTCTTTTTTTTTTCTTTTCTTCTTTTCTCCTCTTTTCCCTCCTTTATATATTAATTAATATTATATTTTAAGTTTTATTTAAAATTCATTTATAATATATTTATTCTTTAAGTAATGATTTAATTTATTATGTTTTTTCTTTTCTTTTTTTTCTTCCCTTTTTTTCTCTCTTTTTTACCTCTTTTATATATATATTAATTAATATTATATTTCCGATTATAATTAAGATTTATTTATAATATATATTTTTTTAAATTTAAAGAATTATAATTATATTTTTAAAAAAGAATTAATTTATTTTTTCTTTTCTCTTTTTTTCCTTTCCTTTCCTTCTTATATATAAATATATTAATATTTAAATATTATAATTTTTAATTTTTAAATTATTTCAAATATTATTTATATTTTATTATTTTATTTTAATAAATCTTTATGAGAAAGATTGATTATAATTTAATTTATAAATATTAAATATTAAATATACTTAAATTATTAATAATAAATTTTATTTACTTTATAAAGTTTTAATATAACATTTTAAATATTAATTTTTAATTTTATATTTTTCTTTTTTATTTTTATTTCTTTTATATTTCCTTTCATTTATTAAATATATATTAATAATTTACTTTTAAATTATATAAAAACTTTATTTATAAAGTAGCGTTATATATATTATATGGTATTTATATTTTACCTATGTTATATAAATATTATTAATAAAATTCGAAAAGTAAGGCTTTATTTTTAAACTTAAATAACGTTAT